GAATTGAGTCCTTAGACATCTGTACAACTTTACATTTTGTAACCTTCACATAAAGGACAATACAAAACAACTTTTCCTGAGAACTTAAGTTATGCTGTCTAATACCTTATTTTGTCTGTAACATCAAGAGTTATTTCTACACTGAAGTAGCTAGTGTTTATATGAAAACAAAAGAATAAGGAATAAATCCTTAAATATTCTGGTCCTATCTGCATGCTTGGCCGTATACCTTACATCACAGCCTCAGGCATTTAAAGACTTAAATGCAAAGATTTAAAGAGCTAGATTCTTCTGTCCCATAAAAACCCTGCAGTTCTACATGCTGACTTCTATATCTATATTTTCTTTGGCATAGGGAAAAGACCAGCCAATTTTCACACCAGTATTTTTTTTGTTATTATGCCATTAATTAATAGGCAATTGGTGATGAAAGAAACAGTTAATAAACACATGAGAGGTATGCAATCTGTAATCTAAAATGATAACTACACTAATGATAGTGGCACTGCAAGTGTAATTACATGCTGTTGTTCAAGAAGATAGCACAGTTCAGTGACACCTTCTGCCTCAGAAGTCACAAAGAGCATGCCTGCCTTTGTGTGTTCAAACTAAAACAGTGAAAGTGCAAGATTTTACAGACTTTTGCTTGAAATTCAGTAAGTGTAACTAACACTATTAACATAAGAATATCAGATACTCTTTTTGTTTATTGGCTTAAGTTTAATATTAGCAGATCTGACTTTAATGTTTAGTGGCAAGTTTTGAACATAAGCCAAACAGTATGAACAGTGATTTTGATGCAATACACCATCCACTTGTGGGGCAACAAACATGGATTTGTGTGAAGTTCAAGGGTATCTATAACACTTCTTTCCCTTTTTGTTCTCAGACTGTCTTTGGTCTAGTGGAACCTTTTCAGAGTCCACCTTTTCAGGGACATGTGGCATGGCCCGAATCTATGACTGTGTAGTTACCAAAACACAAGAGCACACTTGCACTTTCAACCATGTGGATTTCTGCAGTGCAGTCTATGCTGTGAAAAATGATGCAATAATTAAGCCAAGAAAATTAATATGATTTCCTGTAATGCTTAACCTTTAGAAATGCCAGATTTGGGAAAATCTGAAGTCAAAGCTTTTTCCCTAGACAAAAGGCTCCATCAATATGTACTTCCAGTCAGGGATCCCATGAACAATTACTGTTAATATATTGTCAAGTAATTGACTTTTTGAGAAGAAGAAGGGCAGCTTTCTGACTCAACTCATTTAGACCACCATCAAGGAGACTGAAGAGAGTAACATTTATCAGAGCTGTCATTGTTAGGCTGGGATGAAGGCAATCCTTTTAACTATCACATAAAATAATCTGTTAACTCATACCCAGTAGAGTACATCACAGTAAGATTTGCAGGAAAACCATTTCCCAACAAACTGTTAGATTTAACTTTGCATGATTAGCCAACAATAAACAAATTCTAGCAAAACCAGTATATGTAACATTCCAAACAATGTTTTCCTCTTTTCCTTTACATCGTCAGCCTCTTACTGAAATCCACTCATTAAAAAAACCTTACAGGAACAAATAATAAAATTTATGTTCTGCAGTTTTCTGACTTCAACAGGAGCAAGAAATGTCTTGTAAACAAAGGAGGAACAGTAAATCCAAACTATTCCTACAGCTTCTTTGTGAGGCTTTCCCACTTTCTTATGATCAAACCAATAACATAAAAGATCACTGTCCTGGCAGATGCTGGTGTGTATCAGCTGGTTATGTGTGAAAATTTATTTAATTTGAATAAGATGTATTTGCATAAATGGAAAAAGGTTTCTGTAGCATTTCAGTACAGAATTCTTTAAGTTTGTTTTAGAAGTCTCCCTCTGTATTCTCTCAGGAAGAGTCACTTAGGATAATGCAGGAGCCAGGAAGAGAGATGCTCTGGTGTACCTCATAGTTACAAACAGGAAATGTGAAGGCTGGGTCTTGGCTGTAGTGATTATGAGATGGTGGAGTTCAGGATCTTGAAAAGAGGCAACAAAGGAAATGGTAAGATCATAACCACTGCCTTCAGGAAAGCACATTTTGGCATCTAGAGCTCTCGAGGCATCTGCTTGGAAAAATTCCTTGGGAGATGGCCCTGGAGAGAAGGGTCCAGGAGCTGGCTGATCTTAAAGAATCACCTTTTCCAAGCTCAAAAATCTCCACATTCAGGAAATCAAGAAATGGCAGAATGAGCTCCTGGCAAAGCTCAGTCATAAAAAGAAAGCACACATGAGGTACTAGCAGGGACAAGTGAACAAGAAGCACTATTTGAGCTGTTGGGATGTGGTTAAGAAATCCAGAGCCCACCTGGAGGTGGATCTGGCAAGATGCGTGAAGGCCAACGTGAAGGGCTTCTAGAGGTATAGCAGCAGCAGAAGACAAGAGAAAATGTGGGTCTAGTGCTGAGTGGAGCTGGCAGGAGATCCAGTAGCAAAGGACAATCAGGGTCAGGAACACTTATGCAGACTGGACACACACAGGTTTATGGGACATAATGGTATGTGCCTGCAAGGAGGGTATGTGCTGAAGAAGCTGCTGATGTCATTGTAAGGTCACTCTTGATAATCTTTGAATAGTCACAGTGATTGGGGGAGTTTCCAAAGACTACAAGAAAGCAAATGTAACTCCTTTCTTAAAAAGGTTAAAAAAAGAAGATCCAAAGAACTATAAGGTGGTCAGACCAGCCTCACCTAAACCCTGGGAGGCTGAGAGAGCACATAATCCTGGAAAACATTTACATTAGGAACAAGAATGCGATTGCAAATAGTCAGCAAGGATTAACAAAGAGAAAATTAGGCCTGTCCAATGTGGCAGCCTTCTCTAAAGGGACGACTGGCTTGGTGGACAAGGGGAGACATTGGATACTGTTGATCTTGATTTTAGAAAGGCTTTCAACAGTCTTCTGTAACATTCTTACTGATTAAGTACAAGCTAGATAATTGGACAGTGAAACTGAAAACTGGCCAAACTGTCAGGCTCAAAGGGTTAACATCAGTCCAGGATGTACAGCTGGAGGCCCATCAAAGTCCAGCTGGAAATCTCTTTCTAGTAATGTACACTAAAGCTTCATACTAAGTCCAATATTATATAACATCCTGATTAATTATCTGAACAATGGAAGAGTGTTCCTGTGACAAGTATACAGATAATCCAGACTTGGGAATGGTTGATATGCCACAGGATCATGCTGCCATTTAGAGGGACCTCCACAGAGAAAGAGGCTGACAGGAACATCATGAAGTCCAACATTTGAAAACATTGAGCCCTACAACTGGAGAGGAATCACCCCATGCACCAGTACAGGCTTGTGAGCTGAATGGCTGGAATGAAGTTGTAGAGTAGGCTCTACAAAATTGATTGGATTGAATAATGAATCTTTGCAGCAATGAACACCAACAGCTTTTTGGATGCCATTAACAAGAGTATACACCACCAGCAGGTCAAGCAATGTGTTTATTTATTCTATCACTGATGATACCACATCTCGAATGTTGTGTCCACCTCTGAGCTTCACAGTACAACAAAGCAATGGTCATACTGCAGCAAATCTAGCTACAAAGATGAATAAGGGATTATAGCATTTGTCATATGAGGAGACATGAAATAGCCAAAATTATTTAGCTCAGCGGAGAGATAGCTTTTTCCTGCTGACACCTCTGGGCAGCTGTGGGAAATGCATGCAGACAGCTTTTCTACAAGTTTCATCAAGCAGATGCCATGCAAATTAGGTACTGATTTATAAGCAATTTAAATTAACAGAGACACACCTTTTTTCCTGGTAATTGTATTTACAATCTAAGTCTAGTTTATAAAACTGACTCTTGGCAGAGTTTCTTTAGTTATCACATCAGCAGCTGTGGAATGATGAAATATCTGCATGATTGGTTAGATTTCAGTCCATCCACTGATTCTATATGAAAATGTGTATATTCCACTTCTGGATGAATTCAATAAATACAAACTAAAATACTATTTTATTTTTTTCTTGAATTTGTCCTTAGAGATTTTACATTGCCAGCCACTCCATGGCCAACTTCATGGTGACCCCTATAATTCTGTGTACACTCTTATCTGTATCCTTACATACTCTATTGCCTCATCACAGAAAGTGACAGATTCATGTCTGAACCATTTCAAAATCAGAAGGAATGTAGATTTAGGAGTTACTGCACAGAGAATGCTTTAGCTAGTGAGATTTTATGTAAAAGCTGATGTCTGTACTGAGGCTATCACCACTAAATGTGATTACACTGTGGGTGTATAGACAGCCCCAGCTTTCCTAATGAACTGCACCCCTGGGCAGACTTTGACTCAGGGCCACTTAATCTGTACATCTCAAATGGCCTGAAATAACATATAGCCAGCCATATACCAAAGTGATTCACAGATGTTTGAGCCTGTTTAAAAGAGGCCTGGACAGAAGATAGAGTGCCTACAATATTTCAGATACCTCACTGAGCTAAATAAGTATCCATCGATTGTTTTTTTGCAAGTGTAAACCAGCCAAGGTTTGTTTTATATTATCTTGTATTTTCCCTTAAGGACTCTATAAAATTAACAAATGAGGGATCAGAACTTTATTTTTATGTAGGTGAGAAATATTATATATACAATGCTGTTGATTAAGAGAAATCACTGTGAAACTGCTCATTTTTACAGACATCAGTAATTGACACAGTCTGGACTACTTCTGACCGCTTTGATCTATGAGTAACTGTATACTGTTCCACTGCCTGTTTTAAATCTAATTTTTTAAAATCTAAGTTTGAGGCATAAAACTGACAGTGGAATAGTACAGTTTATTTCTCTATGTACATTGTTCTTTTCCTTCAAAGGGTAATTGTATTCAAGCATTACAATATATTCAAAATCAGAAATGGTACTTGTTTCAAGGTTAAAATGAAATATTTATAATTTCTTACTTCACATTTGGTTTTTTTTTTTTTTTCTGTATTAGGTCTGAGAAGTTGTTGGAAAGTTTCCTGCAGCCTGAAATGACAGAGAGCCTCAAAAAAAGGACACCCCTATTTTACACCCAAGGAATAGTGCTTATTAGGTATTAATCTGAAGAAATATATTTTACTATAAAGTTTTTGACAGACTACCAACCTTCTGAACACTCAGAGAGTATTTAATTTCAGTCTGATCAGAAGCACCTAATGTCACTGCACATGCTGCAATGGAAACTGTAAGACTGCAAAGTTTTGGCATCTGTGTTACCTGTACTTATCCTGTAACATCTGGTGTGGTGTTTGCCACTCTTCTAGTTTCTTGCTGCTCATCTCTGAACATAAGAGCTCGTCCACTTCTTTCTAATTCACCTTTCCTTTCTATCTGGAATGCTCCTACAGAACTTTGTACTGAAAGGACTGGAGTGCAGCTGGACATGAATTTTTTTCCTCTAATTGGAAGCACACTAAAGACATCTGTGGGGCAAAACATCACTCTCTTCTATCCAGACAGGATTGGCTACTATCCTTACAAAAATGAAGTCACAGGAGAGGCATTCAATGGAGGACTCCCTCAACTCTCACTGCTGGAGAATCATTTAAAAAAAGCCAGAGAGGACATCCAGTTCTACATTCCTTCAGATGAACAGCTTGGATTGGCTGTCATTGACTGGGAAAACTGGAGACCTGTGTGGATAAGGAACTGGGGATCAAAAGATATTTATAGACAAGAATCCATTGAGCTAGTTCAGCAGAGAGACCTCAGTATATCCGAAGCTGAATCCAGAACTATAGCTAAAATGGAATTTGAATTTGCAGCAAAATCATTTATGTTGGAAACTTTGAAGCTGGGCATAGAAATGAAACCAAATCGCCTGTGGGGATATTACCTTTATCCAGACTGTTATAACTATGATTACAAACAAAACCCACACAATTATACAGGAGCATGTTTAGATATTGAAATAGAAAGAAATAATGAGCTTAACTGGTTGTGGGAGAAAAGCACAGCACTTTATCCATCTATTTATCTAGAGACAGTCTTAAAATCTTCCAGAAATGCTCAACTCTTTGTTCGCAACAGAGTTCAAGAAGCCATTAGAACTTCCTATGTCTCTAACTCTAGTCATCCCCTTCCAGTTTTTGTATATACACGGCCAGTATTCACAGATGTCTATGAGGAATATCTCTCTGAGGTGAGTGAAACTAGACCTTAAATAATTCAACTTTATATGGCAAGAAATTACCAGGTGACACTTATTTAGTGAATATACTAACTTGCATCAGAAAGAAGTGTGCAATTTTGTCTAAAAAATTAAATTAATCCACCAAAGAAATTTGATCAAATGAAACATTAAGAGGTCAATTTTCAAACCTTTCTCATTATATTTATCAAATAGTGTTTTACTCTCTGAGTTGTTCCCACATGGAACAAAATATCACAACACTAAGAAAACATATTTAACACACTTGGTCAGAAGAAAGAAATACAAGTGAAAGAGGAGAAAGAGATGTAGTTTCAAAGAGAAGTAGTAATACTGGGCTCACATACTACCCAATTTTTAGGTTATAAGAAAAAAAGTATAGTAAAACTGAGTCTTTCTTTCCTTAAAAATTATTTAAAGCTGGCAAAAAAAAAAAATCTGCCCTTAGTTGTACTCAAGCACAAAAGTGGTATTTCAGCATGTCATGACTTAATTAAGGTTAGGCTCTGATTAAAATCTAATCATGTTATTGCAGTTCTGGCCATACTTTTCCCTTCACATTTTTATAGACACCCACCCTATCAGAGATATCACCATTCTGAGGAATCTCTTCTTGTTGTTCCAGCCCATGGTGAAGGGGAAGTTAGAGTCCTGGTGATGGCATTCTATCTGGTGTCCTCCCACATTCTGGACAGAGCATAAGCAAGTGTTGTCCTCAGCTCTGTAGATATATTCAGGGAGCAAGGGGTGCTGTCAGGGGCCCTGCTGGGATCTTAATTAATAAATTGTATAATCTTTAAATTAATTCTTGGGGTTTTTTTGTGTGTGTGTGTGTGTGTTGTGCCCTACAGTAACTTACTTTTTAATTGTTTTTTCATTATCATAATCCTCTCCCATCCCAAATAGACCTTAACATTTTGCTAGGACTGGGCTTAGTTGACCCTAAAAGGCGAACTGAACAGAAATAAATTTTCAAAATCAATCTATGTAAAAGACCAGAGACATTCTCTGGAAAAGGGAGATTCCTACTGTTGAAAACTCCTTCTCTTGCTACCTTTCTGTTTTAGCACTTTGTGGTAACAGAAATTAAGTTAAAAAAAAAAAAAACCAAAAAAAAACCCAAAGGCTGTGCTTTCCAGTATCTTTATCCCACGGCATTACTGAAACCAGTTGCTACCAACTCTGAGCAGCCAGGAGGCAATGCAGCAAAATAAGCCATAACATGGCTGGAGGAGTGTATGTGATATGCCTAAGCATTGGCTCAGTTTTACAGCCTTGTTTTTTTAACCAGACGACATATATAAATTGGATATTGTTGGCATCATTTTCTGGTATCACCTGTGCAATCCAATTTTAGGATAAAATTGTGCAACTGAGAGCAAGACATTTGGATTCTGTATCATTGCTTGTCATCTTCAAAGTAATTATTTTGGATATGTCATTTACTATATGCATTTTTTTATTTGCCCTTATGTTATAGGTACTTACATTTGTATGATTCTTTGCATATTTTCCTTCAGGATGACCTGGTAAATACCATTGGAGAATCTGCTGCTCTGGGTGCTTCTGGAATTGTGATCTGGGGTGATATGAATTTAACACAAAATAAGGTATGCTAGATCAATTATCATATGAAACTTTAAAGGAGAAATAAAGTGAAAAGGATTTAAAACATTATGATCACCTACATCTTCTACTTTTGAAATGATGACTCCATATTGCCAGCAGTTTCTTGTTGTCAAATCCCAAGCATATCTGAGGCATATTAAAGTCATCATTGGCTATGCAGAACAAGAGTTCAGTCTTTCAGTGTCTCAGTTCTGTTGACTCTGGGTAACTGGACAACTTACTATGATAACCATAGTCAAGTTAGAACTTGTTTAATTAGTATAAGAAAGAATTCCTATATCTTAATTTTATTTTAGTCTCCTATATCTTCATTTTATTTTAGCTGGGAGGTAAATAAAAAATTCTATAGGCTTGCCCAGAACAAGTTTTAGAAAACCCTTCTGCTTTTTGGAGTGGTGAACTTGGCAACAATAGGAGAAGTCAGTCTGTAAAAGTTTATCCCTAGCCTTTTCTGTGTGTTGCAAATACTACTTTGATTAATTTCATTGTATGAAACATCTGAGTCAGAAGAAAAAACTCTAGTTTGTTTTAGGAAGGGAAATACATAGTTTGAGAAACTGTTACAAGGATGTTCTCATTATTCTTTCCAGGTAGTTCTAACTTCCAGGAAAGTTAGATTTAAAAACTATTGTATGGGAAGACTCTTGTGGAGTCTTCTGAGTGCAAAGAACCAAAATCATCCCTGCCAGACCTTCTGTCACAGAAAGCATGGCCAAATACACCTCCACAGCTCTGTAAGGTTGTTTTCCCCCGAAAACATCCGACCTTGACTTTTTTTGTATGTGCCTGCTTTTGAGAAAGGATATCAGTAGCACCTGGAAGTTTTCTGTCCATTATGTCAATATCAGAACATAAATGAGCAACAACTTTTGTTGTCTTAATTTTGAGATTTTTGTGAGAAAAAAAAAGTCTCCACAGCTCAGTCAGACTATGTATTTGTATATTAATTGTATCTGATTTTTTACAGCTTTCACAGTCACTAGCATTTCAGCAATTAAATGTTACTGTAAGCCTCACTTTTGCAACAACCAAAATCTCTTGAAAGCATTTTTACATATACCTAAAAGAAAACCAAAAAAAACCCTACATATATCTTAGACTCATCAAAGTGATCTCCATGGGTATAAATGCTGGGAGTATCTACATGTGGCATTGGGCAAATGCCCATAATGTCAGGAACAGAGAGAACTCCCAAACCTTCTGGTTATTAAACTGTGCCAAGAATGCACAGAACATATGCCAGTTGCATGATTAGTTAGATGGTCTTAGCATACCTTCAATTTGACCATCCAACCACAATTCTTTTAATTTAAAAATGCCATGAAAGGTCCCTGCCCTGTAGCTAAGCTATTCAGGTCAGGGGAAAGCTGAAAAATCTCAGAGACTACTTGATAGACAAAGTATTTGTTCAGACTGAAGAAGTGAGAGTTTTTTTCCGAGACCCATTCAAACTATTTAAGACTTTAAAAGGAACTTCAAGTCTTCATGAAACATCTTTAAATGCATCTGATTAAAAAAGCTACATGAAATATAGAGATAAAATGAAAACTTAAAGACAATTGCTTTCTGATCTAACTGCTTTCTGTAACAACTCCAGAAACTACACAACATAAATTTGCTAAGATCCTTGAATTTTATAAAAGCTTCTCAGATAAAATTGCTTCAAACAACAACTTATAGCTATTACCAAATCCTCAGGGGAAACATTTATAGACATATGCTGTGGTACTGTTATTAGAATGACAGCATTTTAATGGTTTCCATACTAAAATGTGGAGATATAATGCTCTTTTCACAGAACACCTGTAGAACTCTGGACAACTACCTTAGGAGGACTTTGACCCCATACCTCATCAACGTCACAATGGCAGCCAGAATATGTAGCCAAGTTTTATGCCAAGACTCTGGTGCTTGTGCACGAAAAAAATGGAATTCCAGTGACTATCTTCACTTGAACCCTGAAAATATTGCAATTCAAATGACAAAGGATGGAAAATACACTTTACAAGGGCAGCCATCATATCAGGATCTGCAAACATTCATAGAAAAATTTGATTGTCATTGTTATGCAGGGCACAGCTGTGAACCTAGAGCTGATATAAATGACATCCATTACCTCCATGCTTGCATTTCAGAAGATATTTGCATTCAGATATCCTCAAATTCACTTTCTAACATAGAAGCCTCTGAAGAAAAGATCCTGTCTAACAGAACAGCATTTTCATTTACCTCTGAGAGTAAGGCGACATTATCTACACATCCTGAAGTAGAAGATTTCCAATCTACCTCTGGAAATAATATACTTAATATAACAACTGCAGAATATAACACTGCTACAGCTGCCAGTAGCTATGATTTAGAAGAAAATGATACTCGTACTTTCAGTAGTTCTTCATCCTATAAGATAAGGATGTTTAATCTGTTTCACTTAATTCTCCTTTTGAGAGCCTTAATACAAATGATCCATGAAAGTGAGAATATCCTTTTTCCTGACTATATTTGAAATTCTAAAGGTTTTGTTTACAAAACAAACAACCAAAATAATTCCAGAAAGGCTTATGATCTTATCTGTATCAGGTAACCTTTTCTAATCCATGGGTGCCACTTCAGCTTGAATGTATTTCTTCAGTTTAGTTCTATAAACTATTATCTGTGCCAAAAATATATTGGTCTGTATATACTGACTATACTATATGAGAGGATAATCCAGAATAAGAAACATTTTTTACAGTTTACATTTTTGACCATTATATTTGGAAAAAAGTAAAAATGGTTGACAATGCTGTTTTGTGTACTTCAAGTTAAGACAGTTAAACATATAATATATAAAATAAGTCATCAGGTTTGATGATCTATGCAAGAATTAATTTCACTCCATATGAATGGAATTATCTTTTAAAGTATTTGCCTTAACTTTAGATCTGTGGAACTTTGCAGCATAAAATTTATCTGATGAATGTAATGTTCCTCCACTTTTCACAGAACCTTTAGGGATGCTATAGCTTTTCTTTTAATTAAATATAGTTGTAATTCTTCAAAAAGTTCTAATTTAAGTGTCAGTGTTGACTTTGAATATTACAGCTTCATTATTTAAAAATTGAGCTGTATCGGTTTATCCTTTCTTCTCACAAACCCTCCTCCTTACTTCAAATGTCCCTTTCTCGGTTTCCAGTTTTTTGTCTTGCAAATACTCACAACTCATCTGCTCTGCCTGTGCATTCCCTGCCAGCACAGGTCACCAGTCCTAGTTTCTCCATCCAGTCATCCCTAGGAACTGGATAGGGCTGTATGTGCCATTTGGACAAAAGTCTGTGCATGGGACTGTATGCTTCGTTATTCCTGAGGAGTCTCTTTGGTGAAAACCATTTTGCTCCTTAGGAAAACCCAGCAGTGGAGGCAGAAAGATAAGTGTCACTTGGGACCTTAGGCAATCTCAGGACCACCCTTCCCATTCAGTTTGCTGACAGAACTTAAAATATTTGCTTTATACTATTCCATTGCCAAAAGCAATGTGTGAAAGTAGCAGAGATACCTCAGAAGAAAACTACTCCCGGTATCATATCAGGAGTCTAGTTATGATTAACATATTGTCAGTTTAAGCATTTAGAAGCAATTAGCTGCAGTTTATTTGATAAAATAACCTTTTCAAGTTATTATGTCAGATACTTAATAGACAGTTGGCCTTCTGATGGGTGAAGAGTGGCTGCTGGTATGAATACACTAAAAATCTCCCTAGAGCCAGGCATGATCTGCATAAATAATTCACCACCTCTCACAGATATAGCCTGCCTCACTAATGAAAATAACCAGGACTTCAATATAGTGGCCATTTACTTATAAAAAGTTCATTCCTTAATCTAGCAGAAAACACCTATTATTATATCCATTTTCTTTGAATTTGCAGGTTGTTGGTCATAGTAAAGATGCAGAAAAATAGATGAAGCCTTTAAACCTAACATGGAGAAATATTGTTTTCTGGCTTTTGAACAATAAGTTATCAAGAGGAAGTAACAATTTTCTCATCCCAGTTACAGTGATAAGTCCATGAGTCAAAGCTGTTTCTGCCATTAATGTTCCAAGTGGAATCATGAATAAAAATATATATATGCAGAAGATTGTTCAGCAAAAAATAATCTATTTGGTTTTGATCACTCGTGCAAAACATGTTTTTTTTCCACTGCAGCTTTGATTTTGGTTATTTCATCTTGGGCAAAGAAAAGGCATGGTATCAAAACTCCTGTGCCTGAACTCCCTTCACTGCATTTGTGGTAACTATCAAATGGTTTCTAAAAATTGGAAACATCACTGGTAATGCCTTAGCAAAAGTTGTATTACTTATATGAAATTATATTTTTTTCACAACATTTTGACATGGCTAAACTGAAAGATACTGGATCTTTAGCACTTTGTGGTAAGACAGCTTGCAGGTTCAAAATATCTGCAAGTCTTGCTATGAATACTTTTGATTATCAGCCAGGTAATAGCAAGCAGAACATTTCTGATGATTCAAGCAGGACATCACCAAGAAGGAGGAATGAGAAGACAAAATCACAGAAGAGTTGAAACAGAGCCCCCAGGACCTCCCAATGGATGCAGAGGAAGTGAACTGCAGAAATGAAAGAGTGAAGCAGTAGGGAATGTGGACAGACCAACCTCTTCCCATTCAACATTTTTATCTACCTGTTACTTAATATTGACAACCTTTGCTTAAGGCTCATTGTAAAGATAAAGGAACATACTAACTGATATATTAGACCTATTCATCCAATCCCATATTATTTTTTTTCTTGAGAACAGCCAGGACCAGAAAAGTACAAGGAAGATGAAAGGAAAGCAGTCTATTGCAATGAACTGTGCCTTCCTAAGCTGCATGTGTAAGTAGCTATCTACCTTGTGCTCTGATACACAATGGTTTGCCTACCACCTTTCAAATATTCATTCAGGATTATTTATATTACCTACATGTACCTGCAATTCATGCTTTCAATGCTACAGACTTCAGGATTTAGGCCTGCTATGTGTTAAATTACAGTATTTTCCAAATATATTATTTTTCTTTTTTTCTCTTATTATATTTGTCTTACCTGTATTCTATGATAAAGAGTCAACATGGTGTCAATGAGTATCCACAGAGTAAAAGGAAAAAAGAAGGAAAGGGATGCTATGCTTTGCATTGCTGGTGCTGTCATATGTTCAAAGCCAAATTTATTTTCTCTTTTCCAAAGACCCCTTTCTTCTATTCACTGTATTGTCTGTAATCATAAGTTAGCCTTATAGTTTTAATTTCTTGCATTCTTGTAATTTTGAAAACATTAAACACTAGAGGAACAGTTCACTTTGATTGCCATTCATTATTTTGTATTTCTCCTTTCTAGAGAAACCTCAGGCTGGCAATACTTAGGAACAGGGAGATGCAAACTGGGTTTGATGAAAGAGTCGTTTAAGTGAAAACTGTTAAAATACCCTCTTTCAATGTGTTGACATTATGCTAGAATTTCAATTGAAATTCTGCTTCTCTATCTGAATAACCTGGATCTAGTTTCTCGTGTTGCTTATTCTGGGACATACAAAGATATTCCTACTTCAAAGGGAGATAGCAATTGGCAATTAAAGAATTTGAACAGAATAAAAACATAGTCTAATCATTACCTTACAGGGGTTTTTTTTTGTTTGGTTTTTTTTTGGTAAAAATGACAACAGGGAGAGATGTTTTGAGAGGCCAGTAAGATCACTTTGTAGACAGCCTAGAATGTGACTAGAATCCTGAAGAGTTCAGCAGAATTTGCTTTATTCCCTGCATCACATATCCTGTTGTAAATATATATATATCAGCAAATAATTGTACGGAAGATTTCAGACCTGTGCAATATGTTCTAGACAACTTCCAGACAGATTTCTACATGTACCTATCCATCACTTTTCAGTACAAACAACAAGGCAGCAGAGACAGTTATATAATTTTAAAACACATTCAATTATGGAGTACTGATGACCTTTTTAAGATGACAACTAAATTCCATTCTTTAAGCATACACACAAAAAACTTACTTGAAAGATTTTTTCACACTGTGCTTGTGCCAGCTCTTTTGCACTGGCAGATAGCCAGGAAAATTAGGGCCTGAGACTTCAAGTTGGAGTAATGAAGTTCATTTCAAAAAAATAACATTGATACAAAAAAAAAGTTTATTGTGTGTCTTAAAAAAATACTGCTTTATTTAATTATTTCATCTTTCCTAAAGACTTTTTTTTGTTGTTAGTTTTTGTAAATTTTTCTCCTGTGCTACTGAAAGCCATTGTATAGATGGCTGGAAACAGATTCAAAAAGTTTACTAGTCTAACTTCATCCCTTTCCACTTCTAAATTATTCCCAAAGTCCAGCTATTCCAGACCTCCCTGTTCTTCTGAAAGTACTTCATTGAAAATTAATCCTGCTTCACATTATTCTTCATGATGATGATGATGATGTAAACATGCTGCACTCAAGATAAATTCTAAGCTTTTGTGTATACCAGTCAAGGGTCTTTACATAATAGTTCTTTCATGTAGCTGTTTCAATGCTCTTGCAGCTACTCCTGTCTTCCCTAACACTCAGGACTACAAAAGCTTCCTACCTTTGTTGTCCCCTTGTTATATATAAGAAAGTAAAGGGCAATAAGGTAAGGGACACCTATCAGTATTAATATCCTTAAGGGAATAACTTTGGATTTAATTATGTTCACTAATGTGTTACCACCACTATGGTATATTGATTACAGTTCTCCTTGGTCAGTAGTAATTAGATGATATTTTCCAGTGTATACTTGTATAAGCCTTAGTTTATAACTGATAAGGTATTTTACTGAGTAGTAATCAGACACAAACACACAGCATGAAAATTAATGTGAATCATTAGTTTATATATTCAACTGACATTTTGGCTCTGCACACAATTCCAGAGGGTGGTGTTAAGCACCATATATATATGTGGACTCTAGACAATATGCAATCACCAGTCTCTGCTTTTGTTTTCATATCAGGAAATATATTTATTCAACAGAAGTCTTCAGGATCTTTGCAGAAGAAATATACCATATGTTTGCAGTCTCATGGACCACACTGTTCCCTCAGGCTACCAGCAGGTTGAGACAAGAGACAGCTTGCCTGTGTCAAGTGATGATTTCCTGAGGCAGGGACAAAACAACCACCCATTTAAAGGGAGGCTAAGGGCACCCTGAAGTCCCCCAGTAATAATATGTTAATGTCACAACAGAGTAGAAAGTACCTTGTTGCTGGGACAGCCAGTAATTAAGGGCATTGGACTAATAACAGACTTAGGCTGCCTCTAAATCCTATGTACTATTTCAGCAAGAACTGCATATACCAAGTTTAAGTATCCAAATCACAGCATTTTTGATTTAACAACCTTAATCTGCCACTTCAACAGTCCTTACAGAAATCCTTCTTCACCTTTTTCCTCACCAGAGCATGACAAGAATTTAGGGCACATACTAGAGCTTCTGGGGCTGTAGCCAGCAGAGGGCACAAATGACACATGCAGACGCTGGTGGGTCTCTCACTAAAAAGTTCAACACAGTTTTCTGTTCCCTTCAGCAAGAGCTGCTTGACTCTGGCCTACAAACAGAAAAGATGTCTAGTCATTCCCTAATGTAGAGCCTCTCTAGCAGAAATGACTGATTCTAAAGGTTTTTTCCCCAAACATCTGGTATATCAGGACAAACCTGAATATGCCAGTGAGATACTACCTTTTGTCCTGCTCTCTTCTCCGAAGATTTCATTCAGCTGAAAGCTTCCTCTCCTTAACATTTGCCCAGGGAGGTGGCTGAATCACCATCCCTGGAAGCATTCAAGAAACAACTGAAAGTGCCACTTAGTGCTATGGTCTAGTTTACAAGGTGGTGATCATTCAAAGGTTGGACTCAATCTTGGATCTTGGATGTCTTTTCCAATCATAATAATTCTGTGATCTTCAGCTGTCACTAAAATGTGCTCTTAAAATACAGATAATGGTAGTGCTCTGAACTACAAATCTGAGTCTCAAATGCCTTCTCCCCAAATGTGAAAGATCTGGATATGCAGTGCTGGTTGAAGTCATTTTGCTGACCATGTGCTTATTGCATCCCCAGCATTGTTACCTGAAACATAAGATAACTTTTACAAATTTGTATAGCACAAATAAGTCTCTGCAAAGGAGTAAGCTTCTTTGCTATCCCTTCAGAGCTTGGAAGACTCAACAAGCTGGCACTGCATGGTCCCATAACTCTGCTAAACTGGTCCTGCAGCATGCAAAACACAGTAGAAAAGACAGAAAAGTAAAATACTTTATTAGTGGTTAAATGTTTCCTAGAAAGTTTAAGTGGCTTGTCTGTCTGCAGCCACACAGGATAACAGGATAGCTTTTAGCTACGAAAACAAATGTCCTTTGAGCTGTTAATATGTTCACATACAATATTCTATTACCAAACAGTATGTAAAATGAAGAATGCCTTTTATAATCATACAGTTTTGCAAAGATAGAACAGATTTTAGAACAATATAACAGAACTTTAAACTTGGCAAAACCCCTGAGACACTATAAAAGACTTCAGTCTACAACTGAATTAATGCTTTAGAATTTATCTGTGCATCTTCTGCTAGATTGTTTTGAGGATATGCCTGAAATGTATTTTTTCGGTTTTACTATACCTACAATGTATTGTTAAGTAAATGTTAGTGTTCCAGCACTATGAGACTCAAGCACTACTTAAAATTTAGTATTTCTTGCAAAAAGAGAGACTGCTCAATTTTATGTGTTGTCCCCATGCCATAATCAGAACCACTTCATTTCCAGAAATCACTCTCACAAATGGACTGTCTTTATTTTACATGTCACCAGATGAGGGGAGATGGGGGAAATTCTTATAATCAGTTTTAGGGCAGCCAAAAACCTTTCACTTATTCACCCAAAATTCACTAACTGCTTTGGCCAAAACAAGTTTTTAAAAATTGCAAGATACATAGCAGAAAAATAAAAGTTTAGTGATTTGCCTGTGAATTATTTCCCAGTTCCTTTACATATCCAACCAGAATAAATCACTTCATCAACTTTTCCAGCCATTCCCCCAGTGATTTCCCCATTTAGTTGTAGTGTAAATGGTGAACTGGCTGAAATATTTTTGACTGCTGGTGAGGATGCACCTAGGTATGGAGCAGCCATCTGCCTGCTACTCAGAGACAAGTAAACCAGCATTGGTCTGCTATGCTCTCCCTCCGTGCAGGATCTGACCTGGTTCCTTTTACTCTGCCACCAATTTTCAAGCAACTTCAAGAGCTGTATCATGATTTGAAACTGATGAAGACACTATCACTGTCACAGTTTTAAGAGTGGCATTCAAAATTCTGACTCCACCCAAAATACTAATGCTAGGGAACAGTATTAGGAGAAATGGGCTACCTTTAACCAAGACAAAACATGATTAAAAAAAAAAATAAAAAAAAATAAAAAAGGAAGCGCCCTCTTTTGTTTGTTTGAGAGTTGCCGCTGAATATAAAATCTGGACTAAAGCAATCAGATTTAAGAGAAGAAATGAAAAATTATTTCCCAACATTACCATTGGGTGTCAGGGCCAGCTCCAGTACCCAATGTCATTTTGGAAATGTGCAATTAATTTTACAAGAGTAATAACTCAGTACTTTAAGAATTACACTACAAGTCCTGTTGACAGTAACCAAAACCTGGGCATGAAAAAGTTTTTCACCTCTACAGCTAGCCCACAACAAACTGCTCTTGGGAGCTTCATGATTTTGTGGTCCAACTGACATAACCAGTAAAGTTTTGTCACAAACTGCATCCTCTAGATTGCTGAATTATGTCTCTAAAAAAACCAAGAAAGCCGAATTTTCAAAATGCTTTGATGATTGTGTCATGTTTAATAGAAAAGGTATCCACAGTAAATATGTATGTGCCTTTATACCTGTATGAATGTCGTTCATCAAGCAATACCACCAGCACTTTCCAGAGCATCACATTTCAGTTGCAAGCTCTGAGACTGGCAGATGGATCCAGAAGGGTTAGCCCCGTGTGTACGGGTAAAACAAGCCTCTCCTTAATGCTCTATGGCAAGACTATGTGGCGAGTCGCTTATTCAGTGCAGGCAGAAGACCTTGGTGAAATGGCATCTCTCATCATTAATCACAACGCAAAAGCACCATCACAAGCATCTCTTGAGGCAAGGAGTCATTTTACGGGTGATTTTCCAAAAACCATCATGGGAGAAACAAAATAAAACTATGGTAGGTCCTGGATCTGGAAGCCTGTCACTACATAATAAAGAATTCAAGCAGAGTTTCCTGGGAACAGTGAAAGCCCTAGCCTAGGGGTGTGAGAACTGCCACCAGTAGATGTGATGAACCTACAAAATCGATGCTGTCAAGCAGCCCTAGCCCACCAACTCTCGTAAGGCAGCGCTGCCAGGGCGGCCTCGGCCCCCTTCTCGGGTGTGGGATGCTGTAACGCCGCCCATGGCAGCAGGATTGTGCCGGGCCGTCCCATGCCTCCACACCGCAGGGACCAGCTGTTCCCGCACAGCATCCCCGCGGTGGCCGGAGCCGCCCTGCGCTGCTGCCCCGCGGCCGCATGCCCTCGCTGGAGCTCGGGGCCAGCACCGGCCCCGGGCAGGGCGCCGAGCCCGGCCCCGCCCCGGTCTGCAGCGGCTGGAGGCGGAGAAGGGCGCGGCGCCGTCACGTCAGGCGCTGCCTGGCGCTCGGTCCCCGCGCAGCCCCGCCGCCGCCAGCCCGGCCCGAGCCCCGCCGCCGCCTCGCCTCGCCTGGCCTCGGCTCCTCCGGCGCCTCCATGCCCAGCAGCGAAGCGGTGCCGCTGGGGCTGGGCGCCTGCCGCAGGTCGGGGGCGCTGGGAGGGATGCTGTCGCTGGTGGCGCGGCTGCTGGAGTGGCTGCGCTCGCTGTTCTGGAAGGAGGAGATGGAGCTCACGCTGGTGGGGCTGCAGTACTCGGGCAAGACCACGCTGCTCACCGTGCTGGCGGTACGCGGCCCCGGCCCGGGGCGGGGCGGAGCGGAGCCCGCCGGCGGGCAGGGCCGCGGGGCGCGGCCGGCGGGGCTGCGGGGCTGCGGGGCCCCCGCCCGCCCGGGGCCGCCGCCCCGCGGCCTTTCCCCGGCAACAAGTGCGGGCCGCGCCGCGGCGGGGATGCCGCGCTGCCGGGAGGCCCCGCGGCGATGCGGTGGGATGCGGAGGGAGGGAGGGAGGGAGGGAGGGGGGCCAGGCGGGAGAGAGCATGAGGCAGCGTTTGCATCGTTTGCAACCTCGAGAATTTCACAGCAGGAGGCTAATGTGTGTAAGGTGTTTGCAGAGGGAGGAGGAAGATGTCCTCTGGGTCTGGCTGCAAAGTGTGCCATTTTGGAGCAGATTCGTGGGCATGGGCTCTTGCCGTGGTTCAGATTGGCTTTCCATGGTCAGTGTATCCCAGAATAATACACTGTGCATCCCTCAAGGCCGTGAATTGTGTGTTACTGAATTCTCTCCTCCCAGCAGTTGCAACAATGCTAATGCCTCCCACAAATCCTCCATAGCTCTTCCCCAGCATCCAAGTCTGATTCCAGCATTCAGTTCCCGCTCTGGTGATGGCCTTGCAGCCTCTCTAATGTTGACACCTACCATGACATTTTCTTTCGTCACCATGCTGAAATACATTTCTCGTCTTTCTTTGTTGCACCCTCCAAACTGCATTTGGGTCCGTCCCAAAGATTTGCTTTCCATCAGAGGATGGAAATAAACATGAGTATATGTTATATTTACTTACTGCTAATCATGAAGCTTAGTGAAGCTTTTCTGCAAGGTGGCATCTCTTGTGAGCTGTATTGCAGCTTCAGCTGCTAGAAGAAAAAGATTTCTAGATGTTCTGCAGTCCTTAATGTGAAAAGCTAAAAACCATACTGGGAGGTGTATGGGTTAAAGTCAGAGGGATTGAGTATATGATATTTGTTACTTGCTTTTGTATAAGATTATGGATTAAGGGAAAAATAAGACATTATGCATTAGTGTGAATGAAGAAGTGGAGAGAGAGCAGGAGAAAAAGGTGCCCAAAAAGTGTGTTTTGGGTGACATTAGCAATCAATGGAATATACCTGTAGCTGGTATTTTAGTTGGTTTGTCAGGCTCTCGGGTAATCTTGCTGAGATAGGCCTCAGTGCTTCTTAATGCCCACTGAAAGTGTTCATTTCCCAAGGGAGGGCCATGCCGTGGAACAGGGAAAAGGCATGACAAATTTCCTTGCTTCCTGGATTGTTTTCATGAACAGAGTGAAGAAGAACACAGTGGCTCAGAGACCTCAGTAGTGTGTGGTGTCAGACTTTGTGTGTCTAACTCTTTGTTCACTCCCTTGTACTACCAATGAAATGGTGTTGTAGGTGTTTGTCTCTGGGATGTTATCTTCAACACCAGAGCACTCCTGTTACTGCAGGTCTGATTTTCCCTGTAAATGTTATTTCTTAAGAGTATTCTACAAGGCATTCATGTTTTGTAACTTAGGGAGGGTCACACATTGCAGGTTTTGTAGATTTTGGATCTTCCAGTCTGGAGATGACATGCCATGGTAAGTGGTTGGAGAATTTTGAAAAAAAAAATAGGATAAGGCTAACTAATATTGTACATAATAAGTATATATTTAATAACTATAAACCAGTATTTTTATTAGAATATTAATAATAGTTTTCTCTTGAATACTGTTGATGTGTAAGGGCAAACAGATTGGGAACTCTGTTATGTTTGTGAATATGTGGCTAGAGTGTGACAATGAAAATAGCTGTTGCAAAATAGTGGCTACTTAAAATGTAAGCTGCAGTGAAAAAGCATTGGAAATTACAATTTTTTTTCACTTTGCAAGAGCACTCAGAGATCCTATTGTGCTAATATACACCCTGAATATCATGAATATACACCCTTTGAGACAGTCTCTGCTCTTCAGAGTTTGAGGCATATTTGTTATCCGGTGGAAACGTTGGATAAAGTCACTGCCTTGTACTGTGGATTTGCATTGATAATAGAGTAGAATCTGGTCCATGGTTGTTGATATGGTACAGGGTAATGAGTGTTCATTATCAGTTCAGTAGTCTGAAAGTTTTAGAGGGCATTATAAACTTCTTAGCACCAGTTATTTTTCATATGTGTTGGGAGTAATCTGTTTTTTATTGACCTATGACAATAAAATTCTTTGCACTTCTTAAATCTTCACAAGAATAGGCAATTTGTAATGTAAGCCTTCCTTCCCAAGCACAGTAGTACAGACTTTTTACTTTATGGTGATCAGGTCATTACAACACAGTAAACAGCTCTTGGACCAATATGAGCAAACGATTGAACCTATTCCATTCTTTTCTGCACTGTGTGGGAAAATAAACTGTAGACATAATACTTTCTTTGTATTATGATTACATTCAACCAGAATGGGGAATTTTTAGAGAAAAAGACTGAAGACCAATGAAGAAGATGCTAATTCTTTACATTCTATCCCCAATACTAGAGGGCTTAGGGTGGTTTGGTTTTTTTATTTATTTTTGTCTTCCAGTTTAGCATATTACAGGTGGTGTATAATTTGCTGACAGAAGTAGAATTCCGACTTTCTACAGCCTCCTGAGTCAACTGTCTGCTTTTCCCAGCATTCTTGTCCTTGAGAAATGATGCTACATTTTCAGTGTTATACGTGTTCATATGTGTTTATACATCAGTCCTTCACAAATATAGGTACTACATATTTTTAAAAATTCATATAATTATAGAATCATTAAGATTGGAAAAGAGCCCAGACATCATTAAGGCCAACATTTGACTGTACACCATCCTGTCAACTAAGCTATAGCACAAAGTGCCACATCCAGTCCATTCTTGAACACCTCCAGGGGTGGTGACTCCACCCTTTTCCTGGGCAGATCAGTACCCAATACACAAGAGGATTTACTGGTTGGCTTTGTCTTACTACGGTTAAAAACTTCTGTGAGTGCTGGATATGTGTGTCTGTATAAAACTGCAGGGACTTTTTTTTTCACTTTGTTTTTCGTTCTGCTGTTGATAAGTTACTGAAGCAGGGAAGAAAAGGAAAAAAAAAGACAAAGGATGGTGAAGATATATAGTACAGAATTTAGCAAGAAGATTCACATAAGTAAGGTTGAAAAAAGAACTGATGGAAGTTGTTTCTTTCCTGAAGGATCTAATTCCAAGTCCTTGTGGGACAGTCATGTAGCTGTCAAAAGTTATGCAGCTTTTAATGCCCCAGATTAAGAATTGTTAACCTTTAATTGTAAATGCAAACTGGAGACAGAGTGTATTCTCACTCTACCACAAACAGAAAAAAGTTTCAGAAATTGTACAGAGCCCAGGAGTAGCCCTGGAGGGGTAGACTAAGATACATTGCTGTTGCAGTGCACCCCCAAGCTCTGATCCTCCATTTCTCAGATGAGAGGGAACTTATGGAACATGACTGCATCCATCCTGCCCTGTCCATATGTACCCATATTTTCTTCCAAAAAAAAAAAGAAAAGAAAAAATCAACAAGCCAGGGCACAAGGGGTGATAGGTAAATATGGGCAGATAGATGCAGAAGGGTGGTGGCAGACCCAGAAGGTGCTGCTTTCCTTGCTGGATGATTGGAACATGAGAATTGCTGTGTCTGTTGCAGAGAGCACCTGGGCCCTCTGTGTGAACATAAGTAATGAATGCCTATCTTGTTGTATTGTGTCCAGGAGACATAACAGCTTGTTAATGGTGCATTTTCAAAAGGAAGAATGAGTGATGAGTTACCTACTCAGATCTGAGTTCTGTCTTTATCCTCAAAAGGAGTCTTCTGTAGTGTGTAGAAGTCTGTAAGATTCCCATTGGTTTGATGAGAAGTCTCTGTTGTGAAAATATTTTCTGAACTGGGGGAGGAGGCAGCATTTTTGTGCTGGGGGTTTATGGTACACTGAGTTAGTACCTTGTACTTTTCTGCCTTAATGGCATTCTCGTAGCTCTGAAGCAGGATTCCTGTGCTGTCACCTGTGCAGAAGGAGCAAGTCTGCATGCAGTATTGTCTGCATGTGTAGTCTTTCACTGTTTTTATATTTGGAGTTAAACTACTGGTAACAGTGAGAAACTACAGGAAAAATCATAGTGTAGCCAGTTTTATAATGTTTTTATCATACTGGGGGTAGGACTAGGTCACCTTTGAAGGTTTCTTTCAACTCAAATCATCCTACAATTTTATATTTTGGCTGTGCTGCCAAAGGATCAGATAAAGAATTATCTGAAGTCTTGTGGTTTCTGGGGTGGTCTTTGTTGCTGAAGAGAATAAAAGGTCATTTAAAGGGACTGAAATGAACAGTCTTCCTGGATGTGACAATGCAGTAATTGAACTGCTGGCCAGTGCTCTTGCTGAAAATTAATGTGATATTTTACAGTATTGTAAAATAACGTTTTTTAGATTACAAATGAAAACCTTTCTTGTATGTATCAGCTGTTTTCTAATCAATATAATTTTGGTTTTATATTCTAGTCGGGGCAGTTCACAGAAGATATGATTCCTACAGTAGGCTTCAATATGAGAAAAATAACAAAAGGAAATGTCACCATAAAGGTAGGTTTGAATTAATATAAAGTGAATTAATAATAGAGTGATTTCACTTGGAAATATGGAAGACAGGAAATTTATTTTAAGCTTATAGGGTTCCTTACCTGTTTTTCTAGCTCCAGACTAAATTCTTTTAAAGGATTAGTAATATATTTCTCTGTTACATTAATCTGTTTGATTGCATTGTATTTCATGCCAGGCACAAGCTTTTTTGCACTTTTTTGATTTAGGAAGGTCATAAAATGTGGTGATACTGAGGTAGCTGGATTGACTCCTGAGGGTGTATCTGTCTTCTCTCTTCTTGTTCCCCTCTCCTCCCAACTGTAAGTGAAATTTAGAGCAACTTGACTCCTGACTTTGGTATCTCGATGGAGAGTGTGGTTTAGTTCACACATTAGCTATGCTGAAATAAAACATCTAGCTTAAATCAGTTATCAGAGAACCATCTCTGGTTCTGGTAGCATTAGGGTACTGTCTGTTGTTTGATTATGAAGGGAGCGTGTTTGATTAGTCTCGATGAAATTCACAACTTCTAGATAAAATTAGATCAAGAGAATCTAGATTTTTGTCTTTACTTTGACTTTTCCCTCCTTTTCCAAAATATGTGAGTTCTTTTCTCCCTCAGTTCTATAGTTACTCTTCCGCTGGTTTGGTATGACTCCTAAACCACTGATCAAATTCCCGAGGTGCCACAGTCAATAAAAAAGTTACTGCATTCAACCATAGCTGATAAATAATCCACAGGAATAGGAATTTTCGTTGTTTTTTGTATTCTGCACAGGAGCAATGAGGCCATGATTGTTAGAGAGAAAACGTCGGCATAGTTGGAGGGGTGCACCAGTGCTGCTGCAGAATTGTCAGATGTAGAAGAAAACAGAAAAGTTGTTGATGGTTCATTAAGCTAGACATAAACCTTTTACTAGTAAGCAGTAGTCAAGATAAAGTATTTTTTGAGCCAGGATAGTTTAAGAAGGAACTGAGTAATAGTTTATACCAGGGATGTCTGAGCAAATGATGTTGCAAGGTTAAGTTGTGCAGAGTGGGTGTAGGTAAGTTTCTGTGGAACTGTGCCTTGTTTTACTCTTTGATCTCGAAAGTATTTTATGTATAGTTACCATAATAGAATTTTTAAGAATAAGGAGATAATGCTAACATAATTCATATGTTATTAGTTTCAAAAACCATACTTAATTTGGAAGCCAGTCTGCATAGGAAGAAATCTTGACTCATTCTGACAGTCCCTCTGCTACAACAGCATTCAGTGCAAGGAAGGGGTGTTGGGGAATATGACTCTTAGGCATAGATGCTTATTTCCTTAAGAGCATGTCAGGGTAAACTACTTGTATGTCACTATTCCTGTATCTAGGTTAAAATCTTACAGGTTATTGCTAGATAAGGTTTCCAAAATTTTTTTACTTTGAGGAAAATGACAATCTTTTGATAAATTGATGACTCAAGAATGATGAGGTGCCTCTTGCTAGAATCCTTTTATAAACTATTTGCAGCACAGTAACAAGAACACACATTAAAATTTTCTTTGTCTTTTTTATCCCAACAAAACAGGTAACCATTATCATAGAAATATTATTATATTCAATTGTCGGCTATTAAAATTAATAGATAAAGTGGTATTGTACTAAATCCATTAAGTTTGTAAAACATGACAGGAATGATGTTTATGCTAAGCAAAGACCTGACATTATGTCTGACCTTTTTCAGAGATTTCAGGGGACACTACAAAACAGAATCAATTAAACTTACTATAAAGTTGAGGCTTAGAAATCATCTGGGTCAAAAAGTCATCAAGTGAAAAATTTGCATTCTAGAAGTAATAAGATTGATCACTTTTGGAAAAGTAAGTTGAAAACCCAGCAATTAGGTGATACTAATCCTTTGCCCTATTTTGGGGTAGGCCACTGATTAGAAAGTACTATGCTAGGGCAGTGTCAATGCCTGTATTCTTCAGTTCCATCTGCAGATTCCATACAGTTCCAGAAGGCAGAAAGAGCTGAAACCCATGGTATTCTTTCCTTTCTTCTGATTTTGGCAGTCATTTCCAAAGGCTGATAGATTTATTCTCATTTTTAGTCTCTGATCTTAATGTGTAAATGTATGGTCATTGGCATGTGTGTGTGTATGTGAATTTATCTGAACCACACTAAAAGAAAAACACTGATTATTTATTCAAGCCAAAACATTTTGTAGGAAGATGCCAGTTTCAGATGTTCTTGAATTGAAGCTAAACCTGTTTAGAAAGGTAAGGCTGTCAGCTTTAACTATGAATTGTCAATTTTTGACTTACCAATATGTTTAATAACCTGTCATCTGTTATTTCCAAGAAGAGATGGCAATAAAGGAAAGATTTTACCACATGGTGTTTGAAATCTAAGCAGGGAGCTGTATATTTTGAGGTTGTGGTTGAGGTATTGAAGTGCAGGATGATTTCCAGCATCAAAGTATTTTATGTACTACAATGTAGGGATCTGCTAGAACCATTCTGTTGAAGTTCATTACAAAACTGATCTTTTTTTTTTCCCCTGACAAAAATATCTGACTGAATTGCTTTGAGATTTTAATTCTAAACAAGCTTTGCTGTTTGGTGAGTGATTTGATTTTGACAGTTTTTCCATTTTTTGGATCTGCTTAGTATTAGCTGTCCTTTTGCTTAGGTCAGATTTACTGTTCAACAAGCTAGACTGCAGTTAATAAAATTTACTTTAAGAAGCCAAGTTTCAAGAACCTCAGAAGATTTGAATCATGAACTGCTATTTGAAGTGATTTGGAACCTCCAGCTAAGCAACCTTTGATTTATGCAGAGATGGTCTTAGGAGTGGAGAGCAGGTGCTCGGGGGACTGGAGCTGGCGGAGTGGCCTGTGGTCACCCCAGCTGTCACCACTAGATGCCGGTGTCCCTCCACCACACCCTGCACAGCCTGGCTGCAGGAGAGCAAAGCTGAGCTTCTGGCTGCTTGCACTTTGCTCTGATGTGGCAGAGAGGCAGGAGAAGGATGCCAGCTCTGTGCATTCCTCTGCCAGCTTCCTTTGTTGCAGCACTCCTGCTGTGGACAGTAGTGTTTTCAGATCTCTACACATCCTCATAGAATCAGAATCCTCCTGCTTTGTAATGTTTCCTCCTACTATTCAGGTTATATTACCTGTCATATTGTAATTTCAAATGTCACGCAGTATTACAAGCCTATGGGTGTTCTCTGAGTGTAGCTCCAGCAGTGTTTCAGCACATGCTAGCTATTCTGTATGACTTGGATCACTCTGAAGAAGCTGTGCTGTGTCTGGCCTGATTTCAAGTCAAAGTGGTTATTTCTGTAAAAAAAGAATTTTTGCTGGATGTCCCAGTGCTAATGATAGTTATAGGTAAGGAAGAGCTGTACTGGTGGTTCAAAAGGGCTGTGATCCACAGCAGGAAGCCCAGTTACTAGTCCTAAATCCCAGGGATTAGTGTGTTTAGTGTGTTCATTAGTGACCTGGGTGGTGGGGCAGGGTGTACCTTCAACAAATTTGCTGGTAGTACAAAACTGGGAAGAGTGGCTGGTGCAGCAGAGGGTTCTGCTGCCATTCAGAAGGATCTTGACAAGCTAGAGAAATGGATTGGTAGGACCCTTAGGATGTTAAGGAAGTATAAAGACTTTGGCTTTGTGTCCTGTTCAAAATCCACCTGTTGATCCTTCTAGCATTGTATTTTGTGTCTCCAATAAAATAGCAAGTAGCCCCTGGTCACTTAGAAATACTCCTTCCCTTTGAAATGCCTCTGTGCTTGTTTTCAAGAGTTGAAGATACTTTGTGAACATTTTCTGTTGCAATTCTATTTCCAGTTCTTCAGTGAAAGTATTATGATTAAATTGTGAACATTGGAATGCACATAAAGCTTTTTTCTTTTATCTGATGTGATTAAAATGCCTAAATGCCATGTTTAAAAGTTGGACTTTATCACCAGTGAGGAGGGAGAGCAGAGTTCTTTAAAGGGCCAAGGCTGATTTCAAAGAACATACTGTTCTCAGAAATACTGCCTGCAGAAAATAATGTGTCACCACATTGCACACTTTTTTGACTCTTAAGAGCAACTATGAAGGCCAATATCCAATATATAGGATAATAAGTAGTAAGTATTCTAAAGTAGTAAGATATTCTAACTTCCATATTAAGTTACATGGCTGGTAGGTACTACAGGTTAGGCTGTGTAGATTTGGATATACAGTGCAATTTATTAAAAAGTTTAAGGTTATTAGGTTTTTTATTCTTCTGTTTATTAGGTAAAAAAGGTGGTTATTTTTGGTTGGAGATGTCAGTCTAGAATAAGTGATTGTTTAGGATTTGTGCCTCATGAGCTCAGCCAGCTGGTGAGTAACCCAGCCTGAGCCAGTTGTCTGAACTTGCTGGGGAGCAGTGGGTGCTTTGCAAGAATGCTTCCCCAGGTATGCAAGGTGGTTGAAACAAACAGAACAATTTATTGCTGTTGGTACCCTCTGAGCACTTCAGTAGGCAAAGAGAAATTTTGGTCATCTGGATTAAATTAATAAATGTTAGATATTTGAAGTTGTCCTATGCCTTCCAGTTGCTCCCTATTACACACCGAGTTGGCTATGAGTGCAATTACTGCTGTGTATGTGGAAACTCATTGGTCACATCTTGGGCTTCTCTGTGTACACTGTGGTGGTAGATGTTACTGGTGCTGCCTTATTCTCTGCAAATACTCCTCTTTGCTTAACAAATTCCTCAACTGTTTGTTGAGTTCAAATATTTGTAGTGTTGGATTCATCTTGCAGGTTAAGATATCTGCATGTAAACAGCTATGTCTGCAGTGAGGCTTCAGCTCTTGTAATAATAGTCAGAGGAGCTGTAGTCAGTACTGTCAAGCCCAGAGCATAATTCTGTCATCCTAAATAAGATGTTATATGTGATCAGCTGAAAGGCTGTCTAGACTTTGCTTACTATTGTCAGATTGTAGGTACTGAGCCCACACACTGACATCAAGATAGAAATTTGTCATTGTAATCTCTGTCCACAAGAAGTCTCCTCCCAGCATGTCTGAGAAAAAGCCATGTAACGTGATATGTAGAAAACACTTTCTGCAAGTTTCTCATGAACCATCAAGCCTTCCTACAATATTAACTAATTTGAAGAAACACAGCTAGACTGTTAATGAACCTTCTTGTAATTGAAAACTTTAAAAAATCTTTGAATCTATTAATGTGCATTTTTGCTCAACTCTCATGATAGAGCTCTGTGCAAAATAAAAGGATCTGCTCCTTAAACACAGATGGTCTTAAGATGGAGCCTTAGGTCTTCCTAGAAAATTGGAAAAAAATAAATCCAAAGTTTCCACTTTTAGAAGAATTTGATATATCGCATGTAAGTACATGGTTAACAGTGGTGATCTAGTTTACAGATTAACACATTGCACTGATTAATGACAGCGTAGACCTGCAAGCACAATAAAAATTACTACACTATAGAAGTAGATAGGAATGAATAAAACAGATTAAAATGCAGTACCAACAAGATGTGTGTCTTTGAGATTGAGCATGAACATAAAACCCTTGAGATTTTAATCTCCTGTGAGGCAGTGGTACTGGGTATCAAAGAAACTTTCTCAGTCTGGTCATTCTGTAATCTTTTCCTAATTCTTAAAATCACAATTTTATCAATTAGGATAAAATTACCTTTTAAATATTATGAAACTTTTATTCCTGAAGGGCCAGTAAAAGCCATGGGAGAAATTTGAATACCAGCCTCTTTTTAAAAACAACCAGACAAAGTAAACTTTTTTTAGCTAGCTGTATGTTCAGCTGTTAAGGTTTAGTCTCCTGCCTGTCTCCATTCATACCCAGAACATGCTTGTGTATTAAATACTGGGATGCAAAAATAGTTGATGCACAAAACATGCAAGGCTCATGCAAGAAAACTTCTTTAACACTAAGATCTCTTGCCTTTCCTTCATGGGTACCTCTTGTATTCTCACAGTTCTGTCTGTTCAGTTGTGTTCTGTGAAAATGGTTTGTTGCAGCAATTTGTGTTTTGAATTAAGTAGTTAACTCATTCATTGGCTATTCACTATAATAAAGAGTATTAGAAAGTTACTATTAAAACCATTTTGATTTCAGAGGGAAAGAGGTGAGTATTTCTTTTGCATTTAATGCATTTATTTGTTTTCATATTTCAGATAATTATTACTGTATTGATGTAAACTAGGTTCTAAAGCACTGTTAAAAACACCTAGTCTATATTGTGTCCTTCATGTTGTACTTTAATGAATAGCTGTAAGCCTGATTAGGGAAACTGACTGGAAATGACTTATCTTTCCATTGTTTCAAGGTGACTTTTTCTCCTAATGAGAGTAATCTTGTTCTGCAGTGCAATTTAATACCGCAAGATACAGTATATCATCGAGCAAGGACAAACTCAGTATTTTTTATCTTGTATTGTTTATTTTGTGATTAGTCCAGGCTACATCATCTTTTAGATTTTCATGGCTATCAACATTCCAAAAATCTAATCTGACTACTAGCCTGCCCTATCATCTTTCCCTTTTTTTTCTTCTGGTCTACCAAGACAATAATTTAGTTTCTTTTTCAAGACACGCAGATGTGCACCAGATGGCTTTGGATAGTTTCAAGGTCTTGATGAGTTATTGGAGTAATTATTATTGGTGTAAGTTTTGTCACAGAACGATAATGCTGAATACTCCTTAAGTTCAAGCTTTTAAAGTATAAAGATTTATTTTACCAAGACCTTTGACACAGTGCTTCAAATGTCAGTACAGATATTAACTGATACCCACTTCATGGTGAGAAGCTCTTTCATGTGTAAAATTTTTGATCTTATTCAGGGCATCAAAAGGTACTCTACATTTAGGTGGTAGAATAGTTTTATGTCGGAAGGAGTGTTAAGATAACAATCAGGGAATGATTTTAATGGTGAATTAGGAAATACTTATTTCTAAAATATGAATATAAGATATTAAAAATTATATAAAAATTGATACATAAAAATGATTTACAGGCTGTGAAATGTAAAAAAAAGTGGATATTAATTGAAAAAGGCCTTATTCCATGGGTATCTGAAGTCTTGCTCTTTTGTGCAAAGCTTTGTTGCCATAGAAGGCTTAATTTGGATTTATAGTGTAAATGTGAAGACAAGACTTAAAAAATTTTATTTCTGTATATATTACTTCCAAATTTAGTTTCTTCTGTTATACATATGCCTCCTAGATCTGGTATACAGTATATATTGTTTTGATAGCTAAATCTTCTTAAAATAAGAAATAATTACTTCTCTTTGTCCTTGGCAGAGGACAATTCCATTACTTTTATTTTTCAGTATTCATCACTGTGTTACACTGTCACATGTAACAAAGCTGTCTTTGGATGTAGCTGTAAAAGATACATTATCATGCAGCCCTGACCTGCATGATGTATATATGTTACCTGGTACTTAGATCTGAGAAACAGTTTGGAAACAAAGATACTGTCATCCACCAAAAATGCCAGTTTTTTTGGAAGTAAAGCAGACTACATAACTCTACCAAAAAATAATGTGTTGATGTTTTAACACATTCAGGAATTCCATGGGGTTGCTGGGCACTAATCATATGTCTAAGTATTTATAGGATTTGAACTTTTGTAACATGATAAGCAGAATTTGAGCTTTCTTTCTTCAAGAAACATTGCTTAATCACTTCAGGCCTACCTATACTAGTGTTTCCTTTCTGATTAATTTATCCATGTGTCTTTTAAAGCACATTTGTTGAACCAGTGGGAGAACTGTGGAGGTACTGAAGCTCCTTGGAGTGGGGAGTATCATCCCTTATGTGGATTCAGTGTGCTCTCTGACCAACTCTGTCTATTTATTATCTGTCTTTATCTGATTGAAAATCTGATACCTTTTTAACTTAGGTGTCCCTAGCCACTTTAAATATTAACCTGCATAACTGTTTCATACAATGATTCTACTATTTTTTGTTTTGAGACTGTGCACTTGCAATAATTCACTTCGGTATCTGAGTAAGACTTTTCTTTCAGTGAGTGGGAAAGAGTAGCATTCTCCAAAAGAACATTTGGAGCTTTTAGTGTCACAGGCCTGACATACTCTGTGAATGTACATGTCCCTGTCCATTAGGTAGAAGGGGCCAAGAAGACCTTTTAATAAAATTTTGGAATTGGCAATACCACCTCCATGCTGCATGTAAGAATAAATTTATTCTGTTGAGTTAGGGCTATGCAGTTAAAAACTATTTTAACATTAAGAGATTGTAGTGTTCTTACCTTTTCAGGTGTGGGATATTGGAGGACAGCCAAGGTTTCGAAGCATGTGGGAGCGTTATTGCAGAGGAGTCAATGCAGTTGTGTAAGTTTTCTTATGTATGTCCATAGAAAATGTACTTTGTAATATATATTACTATAAAATTAGGTGTTACATTATATTATACACAAAGAAAATCGATTTTTGTCTTCTGTCCACCTTCATCACATAAGAAGACCCAGTACAATTAAAGTAGTGTTTTGCACATGCAGCAACCCAGGCATCTAAGTAATTGCATATTCCAGGCCATTTTTTCCCTACAGGCTATATTTAATAGCCCAAATCTGTTATCTTCCTATATCAATAAATGCAGGGCTTATACAATTTTGGATTTTTCTAATGCTCTTGTCAATATCAACACGTTTGTCACATTTTGGATGTTTTAATGCAAATTTCTGCAGCTAATGGTCAATACCATAAATTACTCTTCTTTGTTGCAGTTACATGGTGGATGCAGCAGACTTAGAAAAAGTAGAAGCTTCAAAGAATGAGCTTCACAGTTTGATAGATAAGCCACAACTGCATGGAATTCCAGTAAGTACTTTCATTATTATTCTTACCTCAATGTTGACAGTGTGGTCTAAATCCTCCTGAGTTGGTTTCTCTGGGCTCTTAAAAATGCTAGGTTATATATATGATGCAGCCTTGATACATTGAGCACTCTTAGAAAAATTACTGTGATTTTTTTTCATAGTAGTCAGCAACTCAGGAGCACTGCTTTGTGTTTGTACATTTTCTTGTCTGAAAGTCAGACTAGATTTCGAAAAATTGTGTTTTCACATGTGGCATTATCAGACAGTAATTGCTTTCAGTCACTCCCTTGTTGGCTGGGTTTCAGCCAATGACCCAGGTATGTTTCTGGCAGTTATCTTATGGCATGTGAGGTCAGTATTTCTGCAAATTGGCAGTGTAACATCAAGTAGTGTCCTCTGCCTCCACAGATTGTGTAGAAGCTTTTTTTATTTGTCCTGACTTTTTCTTGACTTAGTATTTCAAACTAAATTGTGTGGAAAAAATGCAAATATGCATCTGTTCTCCAGTTGGAAGTGTCAAAGAATAGTGTATTCAGCTGAAATTATAATGAGGAATATGAAGGTGAAGACTAATGTTGTTTATTTAAATGTAATCTGCCAATTTAGGAATCAGGTTGTCTTTGGTCTTTCTGTTGACACCACCAAACAAGAGTTCATATCTTGATTATAAGAAAGAAAACAGTCTTAAATACAAATGAGGAAGAAGTTACTCACAACTTGATGGCTCTTCCTTGTCCCCTTTTTTGTAAGCAGTAATTTGGACACTTGGCCTCTACAAGTGAGTAAAGTTACCTGAGAGTGAGTGGACAGTGTAAGGACTTAAAGAACACAACTGAAGTGTGTCAAAACACTGTCAAAGCCACAGAAGGAACTTTCATAAGATAAGCCACCACATCAGGAACTTGAGACATTGCCACAGTAGGCAGGAGATCATTCCAGGCTTAATGGAGCTGAAGGTTTAGTTAGCATCTGGACATGCTAGCCATCCAGACATTGCCACTATGGCAGACTGCGGGAAAGGAATTGTTTGTACACATGCCATGAGTTATGGGAGTGGCATCTACACCCCATGGATACCTGGGACTTGGTCTCTATAAAAATGGTACCTCCAGTATGCAGTCATCTTCTTCTTTCTCTCCCTCCTTTCCTCCCACTATTCTCAAAGGAGAGTTTTTCAAGTGATTCACCATCTTTTTTATAAGGTTTGCTATTTTTGTGGTGATTTTGTATGTTAATTATCTATTGAATAAATCCTACAGAAGTCGACAGTTTTGCTGTTCATTGGGAGTGACATTGCCTGTCCTTTGCACTCTCTTTGCATGCTTTTTTGCTTCTCACTGTTACTGAAATGCTTGGTTACTCATATCTTCAGTAGTATTTAATTAAGTTCCTTGCCTCTTATATGTTATAATATCAGATTCCAAATGCCCAGGCAGACCCACACAGTAATTTCCAAGGTGCAGTGATGTATTTTTTACTTACTTTTATTTCATATGTAATAATTAGTATTGAACTTCCTTCAATTTATTGTGCTCAGGATTTGGCACTATAGATTTTAGAGCAACTTTATTAATCTGGACTCTAAATTACTTCAAGTAATGAGTTTAACATGTTCCAGATTCATGGGATATAATGTCTTGACTTAGAATTGTAGCACATCTGGAAAACAATAATGCAGTCATAACTGGAAAAACCTTCCACTGCTTACTTTATCTTAGAATGTGCTCAACCCATTTATCTGACCATCATTTATACTTGAAGCCTTAAAAAAGAAGTCTGAAGATCCAGAATCTATTCAGTAGATTTTCTGTGTTTCTTGGACTTAATTCCTAATGGCTGCCTTTCAGATTTCTACCATGGATGCTCAAATTGGAGAGAGAGGTGGCTGGTGCTTAGGTGATACTTGTTTCAGAGGCTGAGCTGATCAGTGCATCGGTGTTAAGAAGCAGGGGAGCAAAAAAATGTAGAGAAAATTTTGTCTGGGTCTTTAGGACCAGCCTCTGCTGCTGGGGTCCTACTTTTGATTAACATCAGTGGTCCTCTGAATTGAATATCCTTTGGTGGTTTGAGTGCACCTGATGCGTGCTCTCTTCCACATTTCTTTGAATTTAATCTGGCACCATCCTGTAATGCCACCCAGAATGGAGACATTCACTTCCAGAGGAGACTTCTAATACTAGCATACCCAGAAATAAATTGATCCAGTTTTCAGAGGGTATTCATCCAGCATCTGGTCCTGACTAAGAGCAGGATTTCCATGATGTTCCCAAAGTCATTGGTAATTTTGAATGTGTCATCTGTTACATTCTAAATAGCTGCAAGATCCAGAATAATGCCAACAAAAAGTTACAGACAAAAATAAACTTTTGTTGCTCCTAGATTTAATAAGCATATGAATTGTTTCTTTCAGGTGTTAGTTCTTGGAAATAAACGAGACCTCCCAGGTGCACTGGATGAGAAGCAGTTAATTGAGAAATTGTAAGTAGCTGGGTTTTGTAAAAAGCTAAGAGACACTGTGAAGTTCAATATATAAGTCAAAATTATTGGTGTTCTATGGCAGTAACTGGCTATAAAAGATGCTATTTTGCATTCTCAGATATTCCACTTTGAGCTGTCCTGGCGCCTGACGTCGTAATCTAGGCTGATAACTGACTGCAGTAGATTTTAATTTCTCTTAATTGTTGCTTGGCCGTGTGAAGTTATTTCAGATAATCCTGTTTTCCCATCACTGAGGCTAGAACTGCTGTGGATAGTGAAAGGGTCATTTTGACTTCTTGCAGTACAATGCATTGTCAGTTTAATGCTTGAATGGCATTAGAACAGAGCCATATCGATCTAGTGCTGGTAAATTTAAGCAAGTAATTTAAGTTATTTTTGGCATATATCCAAAGCACAATTTAGGGATTACTGAAACTAACAAATTGATGCACAGTAAATGTAATTGTAAAGAAAATACACAATTTTGTAAAAATGACCAGTATAGCACTAATTTTGTGAATAGGATTCATTCACAAGTCACATAATTTCAATTAGTAGAAAGTGAAGTGAGATTTTGCTCTAGTAAGGGTGGTCCAAAGACTGGGTTACTAAAGTGGGGCTCACAGAATGGATGAGGTTGGAAGGAACCTTGAGGTCATCTACCTGCTCAAGCAGTGACTTTTGCCCCTTGGAGCTGATTGCTCTGGACCATGTCCAGACAGCTTTTGAACATCTCCAAGGAGAGAGACTTTGCAGCCTCTCTGGGCAGCCTTTGCTAGTGCTTGGTCACTCTCAGAGGTGAAAAGTGTTTCTGTGTGTTCAGAGAGAGCTTCCTGTGTTTCAATTCATGGCCATTGCCTCTTGTTCCATCACTGGGCTCCATCTTCTTTACAGGCTCCCTTCAGATTTTTTGTACACATTAATAAGAAGTTCCCTAAGCCTTTTCTTCTCTAGGTTAAACAGTCCCAGCTCTTCAGCCTTTCTTAGTATGTGAGTTGCTCATTATTTTAGTTGTCCTTTATTGGGCCCTATTCCATAAATTCTTATCCCTCTTGTACTAATGGTCCACAGCTGATCAGGTACAGCCTTACTGGTACTGAGTAAAAGGGAAAGATCACCTCCTTCAGCCTTCTGGCAGCACTCCTAGTGCACCCCAGAATACCATTAGCATTTTTACCACACTGCTTGGTCATGTTCAACCTGGTGACCTGCCAAGACTCCCAGATCCTTTCCTGCAAAGCTACTTTTCCAGACAGTTGGCATCTGACATATCCTGGTGCCTGGGGCTGTTTCTCACCAGCTGCAGGACTTTGCACTTTCCTTTGTTGAACTGTATGAGGTTCCCTGCCAGCTCTTTTCTCCAGCTTGTGGTGGTCCCTCTGGGTGGCAGCACGACCCTCTGGTGTATCAACCACTCCTCCCAGTTTTCTGTCATCAGCAAACTTGTGTTTTGCCCCATCATTTGCAACAAATAAAGATGTAGAACAGGATTGCACCAGTATTGGTTCTGGTGTACACTGGTGGTCACTGCTTCAGCTTGTCTTTGTGCCACTGGTCACGCAGTGTTCAGCCAGTTTTCAGTCCACCTTGCCATCTCTGCATCCAACCTATACTCCCTCAGCTTGTCTGAGGAGATATTATGGAAGGCACTGTCAATGCCTTAATCAAGTCAAGGTGCACAATATCTGTTGTTCTCCCGTCATCTACCAAACTGTAGATCTCATTGTAGAAGGTTATTGAGTTAATCAAACATTTCCCTTGTATGAATCCATGCTGACTATTCCTGGTCACCTTCTTGTCTGTCATATGCCTGACATGGATTAGTTGCTGATAGGATTAGTTGCATTGTCACGTTCCCAGGAATCAAGGTGAGGCTGACTGTCATGTACTTCCCAGGGTCATCCTTTTTCTGAAGAATGACTTTTGCCTTCCTCTGCTCTTCCTCTTCAACTACTCCCAGCTGACATGGTTGCTCAAAGTGGCCTCACAATGACACCAGCTAGTTCCTTTATCACTTGTAGGTGCATCCCACCAGGGCTGATGGATTTCACCATGTGAAGTTTGCTTATTTATTCCCTGATCAGATCTTCTTCCATCAAGGGTACAACTTCTTTGCTTTTACTCGTCATCTCTGAGGCCTGGTGTTTCTGAAGGCTAGTTTTGCTAGCAAAGGCAGCATTTTCATGTCCTGTGTAACCAGGTCCCCTGTCTCATTGAGCAATGGGTGCACATATTCTGTTGTCTTCCATTTGTCACTTTCTAGTTTTCTTTGACATCCCTCATGAGATCCAATTTCACCTGGGCTTTGGCTGACCTTCCGGTGTCTCTGCATTCTTGGACAATGCTTCTTTATTCCTCCCAGGTTACCTGTCTCTGCTTCGACCTTCTGTATGCTTCCTTTTAATTACTGGGTTTTGCCAAGAGCTTATTGTTCATCCACTTAATGTCTTTCAGCTTTTTTTCAGGCTAGTTAGGATAGATTATTCTTAAATTTGGAGATTAACTTTGAATATTAACTGGCTTTCTTTAGCCCTTCTTTGATACAGGGCCTAACTACATGGGACTTTCCCAAGCAGATCCCTGAAGAGGCCAGGTCTGCTCTCCTGAAGTCGAGGAAGGTCCATATTCAGTTCTCTTTACTACTCTTGTGCAGTCTTCAGACTTCTCAGTGCCTTCACTTCCCATCTGCTTCAGGAAAAAATTTGTGCATGTCAGTGTCACTTGTATGAGGATAAATAAATGAAAAAATAACAAAGTGTTCAGAAGCTCTGAAGGGGGTTGGAGAATTCCCTGAAAGAAGTTGATTAAGAATCAGTTTCGTCCTAAATGTAGAGGCATCCTTTCAGTAGGAGTCAGATGTGATATATAAAGTATGATATAGTAAACACCCTGAAGATAAATGGTGTGATCATTTGAGCACTGATATTTTATTATGATTTACTGGAGAAAAAAACTAAGAATTCTAAGTGAAAAGAGTAGAAGGTGAATGATAAGACATGGGTAATACTTGGTTGTGACCACAAAACATTATTTTTAGCTTATGGATTTATGTGATTATATTTCTCACTATTACACTGGCCTAATGAAAAATTCAAATTTTTGTGAAATGACTTTATAACTTTTTAATCCTTAAAAGTTTAAGAAATGTGTGATTTTCTGTGTGCAGTAGCATATTTTAAGAAATTAACATCTGAGAACAGAATTGAACCCACTGAGTTAAAAGCAGAAAACATATAATTTAATGGAAATTTCTGTTCTCAGTGTTTATGGGGTTATAACAGTACTTATTCTTTTTGTTTCTGTAGAAACCTTTCAGCTATTCAAGACAGAGAAATCTGTTGCTATTCTATTTCCTGTAAAGAGAAGGATAACATAGGTAAGCTTCTTTTAGTGTCATCAGTATGTGGTTTGTACTTTGGATTACATCAGGTCTGAACATCTACCTCCACTGTATTATTGAAGATCTCAATAGATCTCAAGTTGCATTGAAATATGCTTTGCAAATATTGTATGCCACTGTATTTGTTTCAACACAGAGCTTTGTGTAATTAAAAAATAAATTTGTAGAAGCATTTAGTTCCATGAGAAGTTAATTTGACAGGGACCATGGAAAATTGTATTTAAAGCCTGGAGTAATTGAATCCTTTACAAGAAACCTGTGTTACTTTTGAAAAAAACAATAGCTGCATATGAAGGCCTTTCAGTTATTAGGTGATCCCAAAAAAATGTTAGTGTTTTACTCCATACATGGTTTTATTCAGTAAGGAGGTTTTATGAGCATGTGGCAGTTCCTCAAACTGAGGGATGGGTGCTTTTTCCAAGTGGAAATGCAATGAGTGTATCCTGTAGTCAGTGAAGATATATCCCCACCAACTTGTCTTCCATCTGCCTTTGCTTTTTGCCTTTTCCTCTCTCTCCTGTCTTCCACTTTCCTGTCTTCCACTTTCCTGTCCCTTTCCTCTGTCATTTTCTCCCATTCCCTTCCCTCCTCAGGGCAGGAGGAAGGGATGAAGCTAGCAGCAGCTGCAGTTGTCTGGGGCCATGCTACCTCTGTACCACCCTCCTCTGCATGCTGCTGAAACAAGTGGTGCTGGATGGGATGGGATGGGATCTAGCCTGGCTAGATATTTATAGCTGCTACGTGAGGAAGCCAGATAGAAGAGTTGGGCAGCTCTGTAAGGTTTAGCTGAGTGAGAAACTGTGAGAGTGGGAATGGGAAGAAAGGCACTTTCAGCAGCAGGGGAAATTTCCATCCTACACAGAGAGAACCAGGTAGTGGAGATGGTGAGGAGACTGTACTGTGACACCTGGACTTCAGTGAGCTGGGGGATAGTTCAGCTGTGTGCAGAGATATGTTAGGCAGTAAGGGCTTCTCCTGGAAGTGGTGTACATGACTCGGGTGTGTTAGTTTGGAGGAGACCAGACCCATGTTTGCTGCAGCTTAGAGTGCAGCTATTACCTGAGTGAGGGAGATGCACAGAAGGTGCTGCTACACTGGGGAAGATTAGACTTCAGGAGATAAGGGCCATAGAAGACAACACAGGATAATCTCAGTAGTTGAAGGGCAGTGAATATGATTGAAGTTTTTGAAATGCTGTGCTTGATCCTCATCGAATTGGTAAAGCTGCCAATTAGAAGTGGCATTGTGACTGGAAACTAGTAAAAACAGTTTAATTTCTGTAAGAATCATGGAGAAAATAGATTTTGATCCCAGTCCATTTATCTGGATGCCCTGGAGGAGAAAAGTATGCAACAAAAGGCATGCTAAAATTTGAATGAAACAATGATCATTCATGTAGAACAGTATAGATTACTTACTTGTGGAAGTTCTGGGAGTAGTGATAAAAAAGATTTAAATCCTAGCTGAGACTTGGTCAGGTATCTTCCAGTGTAATATTGTACCTAGAAAGACTAGCCAGGTTCTTGAATGTTTGCCAAAAACAAAATAAAAAATGGGAGCACACTCTGTATAGCATTTTGGACTGTAGGCATTGTTGGAGCACCATGTGCCATATTTTGAAGAAGACCTTGAGAGAAGAGGTTGGGTGAGAAGCTAGGGAGACTAAAGGGGTGGCAAGTACCATTTATAAAGACTGTTATACTAGCTTATTAAAGAGATTAATCTACTAGTCTGTTAAAGACAAGATTGGCAGCTGTCGTCTTCCTCTGTGCTTTTGACTGATGTCAGTGCAGTTGAATGAGATGATACTGGTTTTTGAGTGTGATCTGCAGCCTAGCTAACTGGTCTTATCAGGAGCTATATGTGTAAGGCTGCCAGTTACTGTGTCCTGAGAGACTGTGGAAGATAATTATAAAGTTAATAGCTTTGATGTAAGTGCAGTGGGTTGCTGTTTTCTGCAGTCTCAAAACCTAAGTTGGTCTGTAAGGATATTCATGGAGTGCTGTCTTGAACTTAAGACAAATATGGCAACAAATTTCAATTTGAGGGCTAGAGCTGCTGCTGCCCCCTGACATCCTTCCTGCCCTCCTGACAGATGTTACTGCCTTGAGGCAAAAAAATCTAATCTGCTCATGAATCAGTTTGTGAACTGCTGCAGTTTTCAGCTCAATTCATTGGATTGCATCAGGAGGGGTGCCAATTCCAGCTATCAAATTTTAGTCCAATGTTGCATGTCTTTCAGAGACCTTGGACTCCTACAACCTACCTAAATAGCTTCTTAATGTGTTGACAGATTTTTGCCCTTCTCATTCCTTCTGTTTGTGTATTTGCCTTTGTTCTCACTCAGCATTTCATTCTAGTCTGGATTTTACAGTTTGTTTTATGGTCATCTTAAATCTTTGCTTCTTCAACAGTTCCCTATCTATGGCTTAGAGAACTTGATGTCAGTCATTATACTTCAAAAATACAAAATGCACATGATTTATAAACATACAAACATAGCTAGGAAAGTGCCACCTGGAGGTTGACCTGAATGAACTTTAATTATGTGCGAATGAGAACCTGTGGTTTCTGGGTTTTGTTTGGTTGGGGTTTTTGTATTTGTATTAACTTGCTGGTGTTCTGTTGTGCTTCTACAGTCTGCAAACAGGCTGTTGAGTTTTTCATTTTGTTTTATCTATCCTGGCAGACATAACATTACAATGGCTCATTCAGCACTCCAAATCAAGAAACTGTTGAAGAAACTTTTGCTGAAGATAACTCTTCCCCAATCACTTTGACTCCTATCAGCTATACACACTGAAAAGATAAGGAATGCAACTGTCTACTACCAGGACTCACTGTGGTCATATTTGTTAACAGAAGTAAATCTGACTTGTAACTTGTCTGTCTGTTTTGATTCTTTTTTTTTTTTTTTAATCCTGACATTTGTCTGCCTAGGTGAAATTCCTGAACGCCTTAATACAAGACTGGAAGAAATCAATAATTTTTTGAGCTGAAGTGTTTTGAGTTTATGCATGCAAATTGTCAAATACATAGTACTTTTTTTCTAATTTGAAACTGAATAAATTGTGCAGTGGAAACAAATGACTGGTCTTTGTGAATGTAGCATATAATTATACAGATTGTCTTCCCTCTGAACACATGTAGTTAAGTACATTCTATCAATTAAATCAATTAATTAAAACTATAATTAAGTGCTTCTTATTTGAAAAAAATGCTGATATTCAGAACACTTTCACATACTCTGGAGAAAGGTTATTTATGAAGTTATGTATCTGTAGTTACTTAGTTTTTCCAGTCACTAATATGAATTATTCATTTGAATATTCTTTTGGAATTGAAAAATAAAATATTCTAGACAATCTTGTCCTTCTTTATTGGGAAAGGAAAGAGTCTGGAATTGTAGTGGGTATTTTTCTTTCTTAAACAGAGAGTGAAATAGAGAGCAGGTGAGATCCTGTGCATCTTCTCTGACGTTATTAACCCCCAAACTCGTGGATTTCCTAACCATTGTTACTGTAAATGAAATGGTGTTTTTGGAATACTCTGTCCATTCCTGAACCTTTAGAATTTTCAAGTATACAGCATAAAATAGCTGGGATCTGAAGTAGGAGTAGTCCTTTGGAAACAAACTAAAGAAGCAATTCACTTTTTAAATTTTGATGTTTTCCTAAGATCCTACAGATACCTTCTTCCAAGTGCTTCACTTAAAAAGCACTCTGATGGGAACTTTTCTGTGAGTATGGAAATTTTATTACAAATGGAAAGTTCATATCAAGAACCAGTAGACAGACACTCAATGGCCAAGTGTTTCAAGGACACTTGCAGATCTCAGAGGGAGAAGTTCAGGCATGGTGTTCTAAAGATGCTGTAAATCAATTGATTGCTATAGTATTGAAAGGGCTGTAAGTCATGTGTGCAGTTCTTGCACTTAAGTACATGAACTACAGAAATAGGAACTTTTTTTGTCACTTCTGTTTGAGAATACTTTTAGGCTAGTGGCTCTGATAAGCTGCTAAGAGCATACAGCATAGACTTGATAAAATCTTTCTTGAGTGTTACAGGAATGCTACCGCAGACGTGGTAAACGTTATGGCACTTGCTGATAATAGTTGCAGTCTTTCCTGTAGAAATGTGGCTACAGGGGCTCATTGTTCTGTGGTAACATGAAAATAATTTGACTAAGTGCTGAGTGCTCAGTGCATAAATAAGTGGTGGATGCTTTTGAAAGGGGATGATGCATATAACCTTCCAAAACCTGACATGTAATCCATCTAGTGGCAATTTGTATGGTGTAAAAACAGCACTCAGTGGCAAAGGTGGTGAATTTCAAATGCTCTTGTTGCTCATGGACTTTTGAAGTAGTAGAGCCATTGTAAAATACACTGGAATTGTACTCACTATGCATACAACACATGAGAAGAGCTACTTCTGCACCAGTGATCTCAATATCTTCCCTGTTGTCATGCTTTTTGGTGGTAGTGCCTCATCCTTCAGAACTATCCTGGCATGGAAATTCATGCTTCTGGCATAAGAGCTCCACCTCACTGAATCACTCCTTAATCTGAACCCCTTCTCTCACCCCTTGCTGCAGAAGGTTTGTGGGAGTGGGCACGAATTCTTTGCAAGTTTATTGCTGTTGGTAAGAAAAGCAGTGCTGGCTCCAATCCTTCCCTTGCTTTGCTCAGTGTGGTATTTCTTTGGGAGGTGACCAGTGAAGAAACCTTCCTGTGTGAGGTATCATCAAGTACCAATGCAACCTAAGAACAACCCGTGGAGGGAAGAGGTCAGGTTCCAGATAGGCCAAATTAATCTTTGGGAGTAAGAGGTGAAAATTAGCAATTTTGTTATTAAAATTTTCCTGTTATGCACCATATGCTGATGTTTTTCCTCAATTGTCCTACTATGTGACCTTGTATCCATACCTAAGGCAAATCAGCCCAGGTCTCACTGTTCCCGTTTGCAATAGTCTGTCTGTTTTTCAACAGTTTGCCCTCAAGTAATTTTTCAGAATGGACTTGGCTGAAGGTGCCTGTTTACTGTCACATCCAATAGCTTTATGGGAAAGATGAATTGTTGATGACTGATGGCTGTGACATCTTATTTCTGAGACTATATTGCTAGGAAGGGCTACAGATATGTAGACCACTGGACACATCATTGCACCAAAATTGTTTGGAGAGGTCACAAATATGCCAGCGAGGGAGCCTCTGTGCAGGGAATGTCACTTGCTCAGGCAGCAACACCTAATGCAGTGCCTTGCATGGGTCCACACTCGGTGTTTCAGAAGCAGGGAGGGCATGGAGAGACAAGGAGTGAGCACACTGCTTTCTGCTTCTCAGCATTCCAAGAAGGTGACTGCAAGACAGAGCAGCAGAGGCTGATGTTGTGCTCTGGCTCTGCCTGGGAGGTGGTGAGTACCCTACTGTGCCCACCCAGCATGTGTGGTGCTGGTAGTCTGATCTACATGCACAGCATCCTCCAGGCTCTGGGAAAAGAGCAGCACTGGGGGATGTGGACAGCTGAGGAGCTAGGAGTGACCTTCAGTTAAGGCACTGCTAGAAATCCCACACTCTACAATGTCAACAACCCTAAAGCAGCACAAGTGTAACAGGGATACAAGTTTCACTTCCTTTATTTCCTTCTCCAAGTATAGGAATAGTTCTGTCACCCAGGGTTATAAAGGACCACCAGGTGCCAGCCATCTGTTTTACTTCCAGCACATTTTATTTGTGAGTTTTTTTCTGCTAGCAATGTAATTCCCTCCATATTTCTTCTCCATTTGCATTGTATATTGTAGGAGACAATCATGAACATAAAATTTTAGTTAAATGATACTTAAAGAAAACCTCAAAGTCAAGTTTTTAAAAAATGCACTATAAAACTTCAACATTTATTGCAGGGAGCAGTGGCACATAGATAATTTGTTCCTGAATAAGCTATTTTGTAAGATGTTGTTTTTTCAGTCACCTGAGCAGCATGTTAAATTGAATGCCTCTGTTCTGTGCTTTAGCACAGTGTGTACATAGCAGCTGTCACAAGACTTTTGAGCAAGTGATGGAATATATACAAGAATTGTGTATAGTGACCCCAAAATTTTAAAGTTTGTGCAACAGAACAGACTGTTCTTTTGGCTCAAGTCTCCAGCAAGCCTCTTTTGCCTCTGGCTGTGCCCCAGCCTGGTCAGTGTCATGCACACTGTGATCTGAAAGGGCCAGCTTAGCAAACACTGCCTGACTCAGACCACACTATCATCACTTGGAAGCCTGTAAGGGAGTGGGGTTTGGGAGAAGGGCTGGCTTCTGGCTGTTTTCTGCACTGTGGTTTCCAAGCCAGTTCATGCCTTGGAGTCAGTTACTATCTATCTATACAGTACACCTGTGCAGCATTTGTTCCTATGGATTTGTCTTACTCAAATGCCTTCAAAGAGCAGGACACATTTGTACATTTCCCTTTAAAGATCCCAGGGTACTCTGGCTGGAGCCCTAGTATGTCTTCATTATCTGTTTATGCTTGGGACCTAAGAAACAGACATACTCTTTTATGGGGAGTGCTTGTGAATCCAGTCTAGATCTAGAGGTCAACAGCACAGAGTGGTTGGTGAAGGACAAGGTATTGAAATCAAGTAAGTATGAGGTGTCCTTACATCCTCCTTACTTCTGGAGAAGGATGGATTTGAGATCTGCGGAGCAATGAATAAGAACAATCATCAGGTGACATCAAATATGATATGATCAAATTTTATCCCTGGCAAGAGATGGTGTTGCACTATGCAAATCAAATGATTCATGTCATTGTGAACTACCCATCACTAGTAAACTAAAAGAACACGGTATTCCAGGCTCTCAGAAGATACAGTCATCTAGAAGCCTCAGGGACAGGGTAAACTACTTTTGTTTTCCTCCACTGCAGAAGGAATGAGACATCTGTGAGGAGTCATAGTCTGTTCCCTCAGCAGATACAAGGACTCCACGACAGACTGCAGATTGGATGCTTTCAGCAGAAGCCTTTCCAGATTACTTGTAACATACTGGCAATGGTGTTACCCTCAAAAGCAGCAAGCTCTGCCTTTCTCGGTTGGCCCCTTGCCACGACAGGCATTTTACTTCTGCAACTCAAGTGACCTGACAGTCCATCCTGGCTGTAACCCTTTTCAGGAGCTGCTGTTTATTTCCAGTCTCTCTACACTTTGCTTCCTGGTAAAATGGGCATAATCCAAAGAGTCTTCTCAGTGCTTAAAATAATCTTGAAAGAAAGCATCATATCCCATTTCTTGAGAACACTGTCTTCATTGCAGCATCACATACAGGACCCCAAGAATAAAAGGGAATCTGGAACTGGACTAACAAGAAAAGCTGAAGAGGAAATGCAGTCCAACGTGTATGGGCAATGTGAGAAAACAAGAGTTTATGGTGTGCTACCATCAGGGATAGTCCCTTCACCAGGTCCCAGTTCTGCAAAGAGCTGGGACAGAGCCAAGCAGAAGACAATGGCAGCCCTTGAGTGCTGCATGCTTGGACAGTGTCCAAGCCCCTCATTTATCCCAACCTTTTCTCTACCTGTGTGGTTATATTTTTCTGTCCCTTTCAGTATTGCCTCTTGCCTTTTCAGGTGTGACTGCTGAGCAGGTCTTCACCAGCTCCTGAGGAAGGGCAGGAAGCTGATGCCACCATGGGGCTGTGGCAACTGAGGGGGTTGGCCATCACCCTCCTCAAGGCTCAATGCTTCCTGAGCCTTGCAGGCCTGATGGCTTGGAAATGAAAAAGGACAGGAGATGTGCAGCTCCTGGCAGCCATCTCTAAGTCTTTGCTCTCTACTTAAAAAGGAGGGAGCAAGCTAAGGAAGACTACTGCCCTGCTGTACAGTTTCTCTAGGACCTGTTGGGTGCCAGACTCTTTGTGACATGATTAGGTAATCCTCCCTCCTTGCACCTGGAAGTGCACTCATTGTGATGAAATATAGGATCATATACTGTGTCTGAGAAATTTTGAAGAAGCACAGCTTTTAACAGAGTGGACAGGCAGTCCTGTGACATCCCATGGAACAGACTTTGTCCAGCTGCTGCTGGGATGTGCTGGTGACCTTGGTCCCTCTAGAGATGACTGTCAGCCAGCAGAAGCATTTGGATTTGCACTGAAATAAAACATGGAGAAAGGTTATCCATCTGTATAGATTTTCCCAATATCTCTCCAGGGCCATGATAATGTAGACAAGGTGTCCACCCTTTTAATGTTTTGGTTTGAGAGCTGCTGCACTAGATGGGTCTACTTTTCATGGGCTTTTCACGTTACCAGCACATCCTGTGATGGAATCAAAACTCCACTGAGTTGAAGAAATAAGCAAGTGATTTCTCTGTAATCTT